TGGCTACAACGCGGGATTTACGTTAATAGGATTTAATAAATCTAGTAAATTTGTCGAACTCATGATAAAAATGGAGATCAGTAGCAACAACATTATAAATCCGTTAAATCTGTCAACCGTTCACAGACAAAACAGGAATAATTCGATTTAACGGAGCGTTGAATTAGTGTTTTTTTTTTTTTTTGGTGTTTGGTTCGATTTAACTTAAATCCATAGCTAAATTCTATTAAAAATATTCTACCATCCGATATGTTGTACATATGAAATTTATTTTGTTCATCGAGTGATAAAAGGGCAGCCAGCGTGGGGCTAGACATGTCCTTCATGTCTCTCTAATGAGCTTATGATAGTAAGCAAAGGTAAGTGGGAGATCGTTGAGGATAAAATTTGGAAGCAATCATTATGATGCATGTGAGACAAGGTGGCCCCTCGAATGCTCCAACCTTACTTATATAGCCTTCTATATTGCATATTTGGTCGTTGGTGTGGAAGAAAATCTGCAGGCTATTGATGGCTCTACAAGTGAATATTTGAAGGGGCATTTACATATATGCCACCCAATTCGTATGCATTTATATATCTTACATCTAAATTTTAACTTTTATATATATATCACTCAATTCTTATACATTTGCGTATCTAGCACACTTTACATTTTACAGTTATACTTTAAAATCTTTCACATCAGATAAAAAAATATCACCATTTTAATTTTTAAAAGGTAAAATACAACCTTTAATGTATGGTGAAATTGTGTGTATGAAAATTGCAATTTAGGTGTTAGATTTATTTATTTTTGTTATTATTATTATTTTAAAAATTTTGGTGTTAAATATGTAAATCAAAGGAATTGAGTGGCATGCATGGAAATCTTCCTTATGAATCGTGAAACATAAGCCTGGGCATGCTATAGAAGCACAATAACAAGAACTTGTCATAAATGGTAGCCTCCCTGTCCGAATGCTTTGGTGTTAGATATGCAAATACATAAGAATAAGAATTGTGTAGCATGTATGTAAGGTTCCAGAAGGGCATAGCTGCTCGATAAATCCACAAGTAAACCATCGAATAAGCTTAAAAATAGCAATGTAAAATAATAAAGAAGATATGTCACGGTAATAAGATCACAAGAGCTTAGCCATAGATGTGTTTGATATATAAATAATGAATGTTTGCTCCTAGTTTAATTAAAATTAAGATCTAAATTAAGATAGAATTGCGAGCGAATTCAACAGAACAAACCAATAATGTCATCATCGTGCAAGAAATGAATCATATAGAGCATAATTCAGGCTCCCATTCAAAAAAATGTTCATTAGTCTTCCACACATTTTTACAAATCTCCTTAGTAATAATGGCAGCACTAGTTACCTAAAAATCTTTAGATCATCTTAAGAAGCCACATCATCCCCGCAGGAAACATAAATAAAAGTAAGGTTGTTTTGCCACTGTTAAAATATGCCAAACCGAGTTCCCTTGCATAAGGTTGTATCACCAAATTCCCTTGCATAAACAAAAGCTGAAAGAGCATAGTTTGCATGATAATAATCCTTGTGGCCAGAGGACAAATAAAAACAGTTGATGATTCCACCTTTACAATTAAAGGCAGGCCTATCCGACTAGGCTAACTGATGCTCGAAACAAGGCCCCATTTGAAACTTTTAACATTTTTCTATGGCTATAATTATCAGAAAATCATAAAATAGATTCAATATCAAAATTGTGCTGTAATGTTTATCATACCAGCAAGCTATAAAAACCAACCAGCAATCTATAAAAACAAAGCATTAGAATCTAATGATCCATGCATGTTTCATTTGCATAAATTTCAAAGATTTGTAATAAGCAACGTACAAAAATTTAATTCATAAAAAAGTGTCAAAGATATGAAATGAGCCATTTATTCCACGACAACAAATAAGAACATAGCATAAGGCTAGAAACAACCCAAAAACCCACCTTTTATATAAATTCTATAAGTTTATACCGGAAATCAGAGTAACCAACACATAACATCCATCTAAGTAAGAGCCAACACAGAAGAGAATAGACAATTGAAAATGAGTAATGATAATTTTGTGCATCGCAATAATTTACTTGTATATTGAGGTGATAATTATTTGTGCACTGCAGACTTTCAACCTAGACAACTGAAATCAAAATGATTTCTGAAAGTTATTTGAAGCTAAACAAATCAAACAACAAGAACATAGCTTCAAATCTAAACAACAGAAAACCAAATTCTAAGCAAGAACATAGCATCAAATCCTCTAAAAAACATAATAGGTATTCAGAAAATCAAAGGACAGGAGAAGTGATTAAAATTCTTCACTTTTCATAAAACAAAAATAGAATGCTGCACACAGTGCTTCCACATGCTATCCAAATAGTGTCCGAAAAGAACATAACAAACAAAGCTTAGTTTTGCTCACATACCATTTCATAAGTTAAGGAAGGGTGTATAAAAAAAGTAATAGAAGAACTACAAATGGGATAAATCTAACACCAAAAGCACACAGATGCACGCCACCCACTTCTCATTCAACTTGTTTGTTTTTTTTACTCACCCTATTCATACAATACTAAATCAATTTTAACTAAAGCATCAGTTATATGTTCTTGCAACCCAACCATTTCATCCACACCTTCTCCAACAACAATGTTGGTATTGATGATCTCATCATCAGTTTTGTAACGGATTCACCCAAATGATATTCATATGCCTTTGAAGACTCTGATTCATTATCATCTACACTTGCGAAGTCAATGTCGAAATGCAAAGGATGGCGCCTTGTGCAATCATGAAGTGTCATTGTTGTGACGATAATTCTAACTTGTTTCCCGAACATATATATTGACATGTCTTTTAGAATAACCCATTTTTTTCTTCTAAACTCTGAAAACTCTCTCAATCACACCCCGCAGTGACGAATGACACTTTTTAAACATTTCTTTTCGTCCCAGTACTACTTGGCTAGCTTTTTCAAAGTCTCTAATGTGATAACTTGTCTTGGAAAATGGTTTTAAAA